CAGGCCTACCTGGTAACTCAACAGAACAACCAATACATATTCTAAACATGATAATAGAAGAAGCCTAAAAGAAAAATAAAAAATTATGGATACTTTTGCAAGACATGAAGTAAGCATTTGACTCAGTTTTATTAGAAAGCCTAGAGCTAGTACTCAAAAGAGTTAAAATTTCACAAAAAATAATTAAATATATAATAAATCTCTTTTTTAAAAGACAATTAAAAGTTATTACAGCATATGGTCTAATAGAAGAAATAACAGCAGAAGATAGAATAAATCAAAGTAAAGTAATCTTACTTTTAATATAGCAGCTTTTCTATGACTTACTATTGGAAAGAATTCAAGAAAATAAAATACTTGACTATATAGTAAAACAGAAAATAGAAGAAAAAACACATAGCAATACTATTACAAGCTATAAACAAGCTGCAATAGTATATGCAGATAATACTACATAGATTGCAAATAGCAAAGAGCAACTACTAAGAAGTTTAGAAATTGCAAAAAAATTCTTTAAAGCCAATAATATTGAAATAAATGAATCTAAATCAAAACTTATAATAATGAACACTAAACTTGAAGAAGAAAAAAGTGAGATCCTCTTTGGGCAAAGCAGAATAAAAGAAGAACCAAAAAATAAAATAGTAAGATCACTCAGTATTTGGCTAAATAATAGAATGAAGAAGTTACTAGTAGGGAAAAAAGCAAAAAGAATAATTAATCAAACAGTCAAAGATCTTAGATATAAGAAAATAACAATGAGCCAAATTGCATACATAAACAATACAGTAATCATTCCAAAATTGAGGTATCTGCTACAATTAACAAAAATAACAGAAAAGACAATTAACAAAATACATCAATCTCTGATATGCTTGGTAAAATACAAATGCAATATAATGCATACAGTAAATAATTGCATAATATAACACAAAGATCTTGGCAACTGCAAGACATTAGAACAAGAAATAACAGCAAAACAAATTAGCAGCATTTTTGCAAAACTGAACAAAAAAGATAACTTAGTAAACTAACAAGGCTCAGAATAACCCAAGGTTGCCAAGTGGCAGGCTTAACAGAAGATATATAGGATGTAGAAACAGGATCAGAAGAGAAGAAACATTGAAAAAACAATCTAGTATGTTGAACAATAGCCAAGGCAAAAGATATAGATATAGGCATTAGAGCAAAAGAATGCTTATAGAAGGTGTATAAACATGGAAACAAGATAAGAGATATAATAGAAATAAAAACATGGAAAGCAAACAGTGCCAAAATAAATAGCTGGGAACTAATATATTTAAACCAGCTAATAGATACAAAAGACAAAAAACTGATTACATGAAGATAGCTTAAAAGTCTTCAAGAAAGGTCATGTAAAAAAAGAAAGTCAAAGTAGTTCAACAAAATTGAGAAAAAGATATTAACACAAGCAAACAAAGAAATATATAATCAATACAAATTGAACAATTATAATACACAAGTGCTGAAGATCACATGAACAAAAATGTCAGAAGATAAAAGAAAAAGAGAATGGGTTATTTCAGGTCAAAGAATAATTAACAACTAGGCAAAATAACTAAAAAAAAAGATAAAGAGATTTTAATTGAATATTGGTTAATGCACAAAGAAAATGAAAAAACATCGACAAAAATAAGCAAATGCAAGGGCTATGTAAATATACAAACACAAATGATAGAAAGATGTGAAAAGTGGATTTAACTAGATCACAATACAAAAGCTATTCCAGAATCAATAATAGAAAAAAATAACAACAGAATCAATGTGACAATAGACTAACTAAAAGAAAACAGAACAATAAAAATATAGAAAAATGAGAAAGAAGATTTAGTCAGACTCAAACAAGTAGAAGAATTAGAAATAGAAATAATAAGAAAACAAGAATTAGATAATGTGTTTATAGAATGGCTAATAGAGATCTTAACAAGAAACAAAGAAAGAAACAAAGAAAGATATATTTTTTATACAGATGGAGCACTATACAAAAAAAATGGAAAGAACAATATAGAAAGAATAGGTATCAGGTGGGTACAAGTAGGAGAGGAAGTCAATTGGTCAGAAAAAGAAGTAGCACTAGGCCTAGAAGGTCGGCTATTAGCAACACTAGCAGAGTTAATAGCAATATGGGCAGCAATTCTAACAGCATCTAAAAGAAAAAATATAAAAATTTATACAGATAGCATCGTAACAATGAAAAACATTAGTAATGCAATACAAAGCACAAGGAATGAGAAAATTCTAAAAAAAAAAAATACAATGTGGATATTAAATATTACAGAACTAGTCAAAAAGAAAAGTGCTAATATAGAATTAATCAAAGTCAAAAGCCACAGTGAAGACAGATAGAATAACAGAGCAGATTTCTTAACAAAAAAAAGAGCAAACTGCAAAGAAGTAGTCCAGATAGAAAAACTTAGATGCGAAGAAATAGAATACCAACTAGAGTAAGAAAAGAAAAGGATAGATATACCTGCAAGACTTCTTTGCAAAATAATTGTGAATACAAGAATAGGAGCCAATTGGAGAAATATAAATTCGATCAGAACTCTAAAACCAAAAACAAAACATACATGTTATAACTGGTCAAGCTTTTGAAAAAAGATAAATAGAACAAAAGAAATATATTGTACCTTAAAGAAACTAAGCACAAGAAGAGTCATAGTGATCAAGTGTATAATGAACAGTCTACTGATACTAGTAGAGCTAAATAAAAGAAGACCAAAGGTATATACAACAACAGAATGCCAAGTTTGTCAAAATGGTGAAGAGGAAACTCAAGAGCACCTGGCAAGCTATAGTGAACAAAAAAGTATATAGAAATGAATACAAAAAGTTTTAACAACAGCATGAAATAGGCTTAAAAAAAAGAAAAAAAACAGAATTCTAGTATAAATATTATATAAAGCACTATTTGGAGAAACAGAAGAAGTTCTAAATAGAAAGGTGCTAATAAAAGGGTTAACAACAATAGAAGCAAAGAAAAGACTTGATAAGTTGCTAAGTAAGTAAGCAATAAAGAAATGTCTTAATATAATAACAAGATCAGTATAGAATATCTTTCATGGTGAGTTTGATACAAAAAAATACAAAAGTAGAAAAAAAAAGTTAATACAACAAATAAAATGAAAAAAGGTATTTAGGTAGGAGAGAATGTAGCAAAAAGAAAAGAAAAAAGAATAAAAAAAAAAAGAAAAGAAAATGAGAAAAAGAAGAAGAAAGAAATAGAAAAAACAAGTCAGAGGAAAAAAGAAGCTTAAAAGACAATTAATATGCTTGTCATAGAAAAGAGAAGACCTTTCTGGTATGACTTTAAGTAGTTAGACAAGCAGTCTATCTCTAACTAAGATAGTGCAGCAGGTTGTACTTAGGTACTATTAGGATAACTGAGTAATACTAGACTTAGATATTGGAAAATTCTAAGTAATTATATATATATTTAGTTTTAAGAATCTTAATAAAGAAACCAGGTTAGCAGTAAAAGGGAATACGGCTCGCTCTGGTAGGTTTACCTCAAGGATAAAAATAGTCTAAGGATTATAATCCTATGGTCGAATGCGAATAGATTCGGGTCTATAATCTAGTGAAATTAATACTAGGGTTAGATCAGAGAGTTTAAATGGAACATCTAAGCAGGGGTGTTAGGTACGGCAACTGGTGAAGAACCCTCGGGCGGACTTCTTAAATAGGTAATATAGAAAAGTTACATGTGTAGTTAGTTGTACACTCGTCTAATAGTTCATTATAGATACATCTATATAAAACATATACTTGCTATAAGTATTAATAAAAAGCTCAGACCAAAGAGGTCATCTTAATACCAAAAAAAAAAAAATCTTAATAAAGTACTAGCATAACTGCTTAAGACAAAAAAAAAATATTTATATTATAACAACTATTATTAATAATTAGATTAAGATACCTGTAATGACAATTATATTAATATAACTAATAGATCATAGGGTCTCTGTATAACTTGTTATATAAAGAACAAATCAGATAATACAAACACTAGATAAGTTTTTGTGATTGTGTAAATCTGTTGAAATTGAATAACAAGAATTCATTTGAAAAGATCTAAATAGAAAGATAACTAGATTTTTAATAATCTTACTATAAAAACTAATCTAATAAAACAAATATCAAGGTTATAGTATCTGATTATAGTAACCAAATAAATAAAAATCTCTGGATTGAGAGTCTTAGAAATATCACCAACTAGGTTACTAAAATAAACTAATCTGATATACTAATAAACTGATCATAATTTTATATAGACAATTTGAATTAAAAGTTTAATAAAAAAAACAGATAAAAAAACAAGAATATACTAAAGTATTAAAATTATGTTATGAAATAGATACTGAGATCTGTATGAACTCTACAAAAGCACAACAGTTAAATAATATAATTCTGACTACAAATGTTAGTTTTGTCATAGTAATATTTAAATTAACTATAAAAATAGATATAAAAGATTTTAAAAGTTTATCTCAAGAATAAATTAGTTTTAAGATTAAGACAATAATTTGAACATCTAGATATGACCCAATAAGTTAATACAGATTACAGATTCAGAAGATTTAAAGTAAAATACCCAAGCAAGAATGTTAAATATGACAATTAGTAAAAAACCTTTAGGCAGATTTCTTAAATAGATAATATAAAAAAGTTATATATATAACCAATTGTACTTTTTCCTGTAGTAGTTTATAGAATCACATTACCAATAAGTCATTAATAAATGTCAAAAGACCAAAAAGGTCACCTTAACATCAAAAAAAAAAATCCAAAATATAAAATCCAAAATCTAAAAATAAAATTTAAAACAAAATTTAAATTGAATTAATTAGCTGATTACAATTTATATATAAATCTGGGGCCTCAAAAAAGGTCCAATTACCTAAACCCGCCGATACGAGAAAATACAAACTTTAAAGAGCTATACTGCAAAATTTTATTAATTATAAATTATCAAATAGTGCATTCGCAATCTTGGTAAATCAATATTTTTAAATATTTTTGCCAAATTCACTGTCCCTGGTGCCCGTAGACCGTCCGTCCGTACTGGGGTAGTTGTCGTCGGTAGACAAAGTCACGGGACATAAGATATATGTACGTACCCAAAAACTTTTTTTTGATTAAAAAAAAACTTTATCATATGGCAGAAAACGTTAATGTACCTCCTATATTGACCCTCGAAAATTATGAAAACTTTCGAACAAATGCATACGTAACGATAGAAACTTATGCTAGAAAACAAAAATCTATACTTCCACCTGGGGAGGTTGCTTTTTGCCGGACTGTTGATCCCGCGTCTGCTCTCGCGCTGGAAAGGCTCTCTACTAAAATAAAAAATAAGTTGAATCGCTTGTTAGTAAATGCCGACATACCCGGTGCTGAAATGCTCGGTAGGGTTAACGATGCAAAGGATTTTGATATTTGGTTTAAGGATTTAGTTACTATGAATGATTCTTTGATTGACGGTGTGGTATGTATAAATTCTAAGTTAATCAATGTCTAAACAAGATTCTCAGTATTTAATATTTTAGAATGCATCCTTGGATGAATTAACCGGTCGTAGTCAAAAATTCGCGAGTTCTACAGCAGACGCATCAACATCAATGGTGGCACAAGTTAGGGCTAAAGTACGTTTGATTTAACTTTTTAAATTTTTTTTGTGAATTTATTTCTTAATTTTCGGTTGCCTATTAGTCAGGGGATATCAACATCGTATACTCTCGTAACATTACTCGACCACAAGCAAAATTCAAGGATAAAATCGACAATTCTGGCGCGCCATTTATTCCTAAACTTCCAAATAAACCGAACGCAATTGTACCACTAAAACTGGACGGTATTGAAGAAGGATCTGTGTAAGTTTAGCCTTTATCTGTAATCTTTCCTTACTGTTTACATTTCAAATAAAGATATATTAACATTATTAGGTACCCTCATCCGTACCGATACGAGATAACTCATCTCACGTACCCTTCATTCGTTTTTGAAGAGAAGGTGCCAATACATTCTCTATCCCTTGATGCTACCCCACTTACTTGGGTTGATACATTAGATGGGCTAACTGTTATGTGCAAGAAATTAGAAGTGTCTCAAGAAATTGCTGTGGACCTTGAGGTGCAAATATATTGGTTTATGCTTCATGTTTTCTGTTGTTTTTAGGCTTTTATAATATTGTTCCGCCCGTTTATTGTGTCGACTTATTACGCACACTTATTATGTCAACTTATTACATTGATTGACTATTAGCATCACGATTATCGATCATATCAAGGTTTTACTTGTTTAATACAGATCAGCACGCGAGATGAGGATTTTATTGTGGATGCTTTGGAATTGAGACATCATTTGCATGTGCTAAATAATTCTTTCACAAACCCTAATATCTTGAAGGTAAAATTCATATATATATATATATATGCAGTGAGGCTTCATGCGGTCACACTCATTTATAATAACACCACCCATAAGCACGCTTTTTTTTGGTCCCAGATATAATAAAAGAAATTTGACCTCTTTAGAAGCTGACCCGAAGGGCGTGATTGTAGGGAGGTCTTATTGTATATATATATCAATTTTCTTTCTATTAGAAGCTTTTAATTTTTATTTATTTACTCATGTATGATATATTTATTATTAAATAGGTCTTTCATGGTGCCGATTTCGATATTATTTGGTTACAAAAGGATTTTGGTGTTTATGTGGTCAATTTATTTGACACTAATCAGGCGTCTCACCTTTTAGGTAATTAATTTTATTACGTTGTCTCTTTTGTAAGTTTAATACATATTTTAATTAATTGACTGGCAAAATAGAAATGCGCTATCATTCCTTGGCATATTTGTTAAAACACTATTGTCAAGTGGATGCAGACAAGAAATTTCAGTTAGCAGATTGGAGGTTAAGGTATACATTGATCCGCCCAATTAATTGGTTTAATTTGTTGTTATTATTATTTCATTTATTTGACTTATTTAGGCCTCTTACAGAAGAAATGATAAATTATGCTCGTTGCGATACACATTATTTATTATACATCTATGATAGGATGCGTAATGAATTAATTCAAAATTCTGTCACCATGACTTATAATTTGTTAAAAGTTACGCTTGATCGCTCTGCCGAGATTTCACTCCAATGTTATGAAACTTTTCGATATGATCCTAGCGGTGAAGGCCCGAATGGTTATCAGAAGTTACTAGCCAAATGGAATCATCCATTAGATAGGCAGCAGGTTGGTCTCGTTATCCGTTTAATTAAGTTTAGCTTTTATTTATGTGAATAATACTATGGAAATTATAGCTTGCGGTATTTAAAGCACTTCATTCTTGGAGAGATAATAAAGCCAGAGAAGAAGACGAAAGTTTAGCGTATGTAGTTTATCATTTATGTGTTAAACTTTTTGTATTAGTAAACAATCTAATCCTAATATTTATTTATTATATTAGTTACGTCCTTCCAAATGATATACTTTTTACACTTTCCGAAAAAATGCCAGATGATTCCAAAGATATAACTCATTTCTGTAGAAATATAGTTCCTCCACTCGTTCGAGAAAATACTCTAGAGCTGGTTAGCCTGATCGTTGATGCTAAAAATAATGTATTAAATTCACCAAGTATATTTGAAAGCCAACCTATGAAAATTGAACGTGACATAAGAATTGCAACGTCAAATAATGAGCCAGTTCTCAATTGTAAGTTTATATTATACAATTCATTCCTATATACATATTTATCTCAAAAACAAAAGTACTTACTGTTATGTCCTCTAAGCTAAAAATATAAAATGGGTTTTGGATAAATCTCATCCCAAATATAATGCTGACGACTATAAAGAAAAAAAGTCGGTATTATTTGGTGACTTTTATATTGAGGTTTGTGTTTTTATTAACAGTAATTATTTGATGATTTCTTCTATAAGTATACTTATAAATAACCTTAAATGTTTAACAGAATGAAATGAACGAAACATCGAAAAAGAAAGTTTCCGAAATTCTCTCGAATCTTACTTTTGCGCTTCCTATACTTCCTAAATCAATTTCATACAACTCTAATCGGGACAGTCAAAAATCTAAACCAATTGATGAAAATTCACAACCGATTATATTTCCTGTGGAACATATTTATGTGCCACCCGAAGCAAGGAGTACGAAGTCAAAAGGAAAAGAACGGGAAGTAGTTGTTCTATCGCAGTCAATATCAAAGAAGCGCCAAAGACGGGAGGATGACGTAGATGTAACAATACTTGATAAAAATGTTAGTGTAATTATAATCATTTATAATAATATAGTAATGCAAATAGTGCTAACGCTTAGCATGAAATTTTTATACAGGAAAAAACTTTCGTTACAGAGACTGTTACTCCTGCGAAAGCTGAGTCATCAAACAGTACAAATATGGATACGTCAACTATTGATGCATCGTTAACTAAAGCTGAAAGAAGGGCTCGAAAGAAAATGAAAGCTATTGGTACGTCTAATGAACTTTGCATAAAATGCATTAAATTGACTAAATTTTAATAAATATGTCAACAATTTCTTATAGAATCGGCCAATCAAAAAGCATCTATAGATTTCACTGATCACACACGATTGCCTTCACTTGTATCTGAAATTTCTATTAATCCATCACGCCTCGATTTTGAGGTAACTAGGTCAACTTTAACTTCTACAGAATTTCAACAAAATGATGAAGAGGATAAAGATAAGAAATGTTTTATCATGTAAGATTGTGACCTAATACTGTAGATTAAGTATGTTAATCCAGTGTGGTATGGCGTTTATTTCGACGTAGGATTGTATCTATTCTTGCTTTTAATGATTGTAGTCGACGAAAAACTTGTAAACTTAGCCAGTCGATAGTTTTGATATGGCTAAGTCAGTTTAATCGTTATCTCAAAAAATTAAATCTACCAATAATATTTTTTACAGGGCAATCCTCAAATACCTAGTCGGAATTCATTGGAGTTGGCCGACATTAAGTAATACCACCGGACTGCGTCTAAAGCAAAATTAACAATTGGGCGGTTTTATTTAATGAATGCGCTTAATGAAATTTGAATAATGTTAGGCAAATTTGGTAAATCCGGTCTGGCCGATTCTAATGTATTCCGATTTGTATTAATTGCCACTAATAAATTATAACCCGGAAACCCCCGCTAGCACGTTCGTATTTTATGCCGTATAATGTATTGTATAATGTTCACGAAGTTTTTTTTTAAAAAAGATAATAATAGTAATAAATAAGATAAACCGTTAAACGTTATTACGTAACGTTTAAAAAAAAATGGTATGATGTACGTACAGTAGTCAACAAAAGTAACGCCCGATTTTTGATCAAAAAATAAAATTTTTATTTATTTAATTTTGGCCGCAAATACATCAATTTTTTTTTTTATATTTATTTAATATTTCACTGAGTGACCTCCTACACTTGTGATAGCGTCGATTCTTCGTGTCATTGAGTCTGCAACGACACGAAGAACCGACGTATCCAAATTTGACCATGCTTCTTGTAAGGCCGTTTTAAGGTCAGATTTATTCCTTGGGAAGTCATCTCGGTTCTGAATATTGTCCTTCATGATCTTCCAAATATTTTCTATGGGGTTAAGGTCAGGGGATCGTGAGGGTCAATTCATATAATCAATGTTATTCAAATTTAGCCAATTTGACACCTTATGAATCAGAGCATTGTCATGCTGAAAAATTGGATGAGGGACATTTAACAAATGGATTATAGTTAAAAACGGTATGAGATGGTCATTTAACATCTTGGTATAAATGTTTTTATTAATTTTTTGTTTGGGACCTTTGTAATCATCAAAAAATACCATGGGACCTTTGATATTATCAATAAAACATGACCAAACTATATAATTGAGACCCTTCCACTTCTAAAATTTGGTTGCAAACACTCATGTTTGTATCTCTCATCTGCACAACATCATACACGAACTTGGCGAGATTGTTTACCTACTTCTATACTCATTTCATTCAAAAAAATGATATGTTTTTAATAGTAAGCATTCTTATTTTTATTCTGATTACACTATTCTATATGTCTTTCTATATTGCAAGAACGAAGTCCAACATTGTGTAAGATCCTAGTTACAGTTTGCACACTGTATTGAAGGTTTAAATCCTTTACAATTTTGAGCAGTGTCATCATCTTTTCTTCAATGCTTTTTTTACTATAATGATCTTTTCTTGTTTTTTCAAGACAGGAGAATGTTCAGACTGAGGTAAATTCTTGATTTTTTTGGTTCTCTTATATTTTTATAAAAACCTTCAGACTGTTGTTGGGTTATGCTTAATCTTGTAGACAACTTGTTCAGTATTCATTATATTGATATGAGTAAGGATCATTTCTTTCTCTTTTTCTGTCATTTGTTTGCGTAGCATTTTTATTAAAAAAAAAATAATCTTTAGCATGTGCTTGGTTCCTTCGACATCAAAGAAGCAAAAAATAAAAAAAATTTGCCCCAAAATTCATTAGAATAGGGTATGCACAGTTCTTTTATTTGCTTACATGTGATGATCTGCAAATCAGGTGTTACTTTTGTTGGCTACTATACATTTTTAAAACTAATGTAATGATGCAAACTAGGGCTCTGCAAATGCCCATGTCAGGTAAATTGGCACCATACCAGGCATTAGTGCCTCATGCCTATAGGTTCAAAAATGCCAGAAATTATTATGAAACCTTACAATGATTCGTTCAGATAATACATCTATAGATACAAACACTTTGAGGCAACAGAATTATGACTTTCATGATCAAAGTTGCAACTTTTGTAGTAATGATGTAGGTCGTATTTAAGTAGCAAGTATTATATATTGATGTAGGTCATAATTAAGTAGTAAGTATTATATATTGACATAAGTTGTAAATAAATAGCAAATATTATAATATATAATAATGTAGTAAGTAGTTATATATGTTATAGCCATAATATATGTAGTGATATAAGTAGTAAATAGTATGATATATATAATATATGTGTAATTTATTCATTAATATAATATAAGTATATTTTATTAAATAACAATTAATTGTAACAAAATAAAAAAAATATAGAGAACACAAAAAAAAAATATTTTTTTATGGCAAGTTTAAGTTAACTATTTTGGATAATGTTAGTTCTATATCTTCAAAATCCAAAAAATGAAAAACTGACAGATCAAATGTTGATGAAATTTGGTTATATTATATTTAGAGAGATAGTAATGGCAATGGTCACTTAAAGCAACATGTTACTATTAGGGTTTGGAATAGGAGAGTTGGGCCAGGTAAAGGTAGGGCCAAGCCTGGTTCATTAAATTATAAGCCTAGTCCAAATCTAGCTCAATAAAAAATTTAGAGTATGGGTCGTGCTGAGCTTACTCTAAAACCTAGCCCGATCTAGTCTAATAAAAATTTAGAGTATGGGCCAGATTAATTTACTTCAAAGCCTGACCCAGCTCGGCCTATTGAATTATAAGCCTGGAGCATACATGGCCTATACTTATTGAGATGATGTTAGGATATGCAATATTATATGTACATATAATTAACAAATCAATATAGATCATATATACAAAGTTTTAATAAAGAATGAGGTCCTGTAGCCTAGTGGTCTAGACACCCCTTCTTCCACAGACAAGGTTGATAGTTTAATTCCAGCTGAAAACAATTCTGTAATCTACGAAAGCATATAAATATACATGAAGCCCTGTGATTAAGTTCATATAATTAGAAGATCAGTATATAAAGAAGTTCTTGGAAAAAAGATTTCTAATATGAAAAGTTGGTACTCGATGCAAGAGAAGTGGTAAACATACCAGAAATGGAGAAAAGGTGCACTAGCAAATAATACGATAAACATAAAAGAAAACTATGAAAAAGAAATAGACTTATCGAAATTCAAACACTTCTGACATCAAACCAGTTCTAGTTGATACAGGATATACTAAAATTGGATAAATATAAGGGGTAATCTTGGTATCATATTTAGTAAGTTTGTGTCAAGAGTAAATTCGAAAGGACTATAGATACTTAGTAATATCCAATAAGGTGAAACTTAGATATAAATAGTAATTAGATAGCTCTAACCTGTTCTGTTATAATCATAGTGATATATATTGTATATATATGCAGTTAAGTGTTGAAAATCAGAAAGTTTAAATAAGAGACTCAGATAGGTCTTAGGTATGGTATCTAGTAGATAACCTATGAGCAGAACCCTTAATTAGATAAAGACTAAAGTTATATATATGACTAGTTGTACTTTCATTGATATATTCTGTATATAATATGTAATCTTATACTATTACTAATAAAAAAAACACACAGGCAAGACTGCTTTTAAAATTAAAAAAAAAAATCAAAGTTTTAATAAATTATTTGTGTATCACCAATAAAACTGATTTCAATATAAAATTTATTCTATTTAATATAAAGTCTGGTTTTATTTTGCAATGTTCAAAATAATTTGTTAAACATTTATAAGAAAATCTGAAATTACAGCTGTTATCTTTGTGACACCTAATAATTTTACTTGTTACTTAAATGTTCTTAGTTTCATCTGATAAATTGCTTAAATTATATCATTATCTTTGAATCCTTAGTCTAAAGACAACAACATAGTTTTCAAAAGATTAGGTTATTTATTAGATGAAATTGAGAACATTCAAGTAGTGAGCAAAATTATTAGGTATCTTAGAAATAATGATAACTGTTGTAATCTTTAATATATTTGTTAAAATTATTGTCAAAACTTTTTAAAGAATACTCATCATATAATAAATAAAATAATAACATGCTTTAACTTTTATCTACCAACTAGTTATCTTCATAATTTTTTTTAATTTTTTTAAATATTAAGGTGAGTACTTGCAACTCAGGATTTTATTGATAGTACATTCAGCTAATGATTGCATTACAA